GCCATGTGGTCACCTCCGGGGCAGGTGGGAATCGAACTCATGCAGAAGTGGCTTTAGCTTCTTAGTGCTGTGCTTTAACCCGCTGCGCCACCAGGGAGGGCCTTAAAGAGTTAATTTTTAATTTTAGATGTTTTGAACAGAAAATAGGTGTTTGTTCCTTCTTTTTAAACAGTTCTACCGATTTTTCCTCTTTGTTCTTATCCCAGAGGCTGTGAGCTGTGTAAAATAGCTGAAGCTTACACACGTAATTCTAGCAAGGGGCAATGGAAAGGATGCTCAAGGGATAGGGCAGGTTCTGGTAAAGTGGGGGGGGGGTGGCACAGAAACCCACTGTTTCCTGCCCTCTGCCCCTTGTCAAACCTAGTGTCACCACCTCTGGATCCTCCACAGGCTCTGCCCAGGTTGGTTTGCTCCTCCTTGCCTACCTGCTACTATTTGTCCTGGGCAGGAGATGGAGATGCTGGGTGGGACACGTTGGCTTCACTGTAATTAAGCCGAGTGAAAGTGAGTGGCTATTAAAGAATCTGCTGGGGAAGCAATCTGAATCCTGTACCTCATCAGAATCCTGATGATTTTATACAGTTTGCAAGAAAAACATTTTACATTTTCAAGCATTTTTTTTTACAGAGAGTGCTGATTGCTGAGGCTCTTTGATGTTGTCAGTGCATTGAGGAAAGCAGGAGCCCTGATAAAACATTCCCTGTCGGCCCTCCCTGGTGGCGTAGCGGGTTAAAGCACAGCACTAAGAAGCTAAAGCTTCTTCTGCATGAGTTCGATTCCCACCTGCCCTGGAGGAGATCCATATGGCGAGGCAGACCTCTCCTGACCTGCCTGCTGCTCCCCTCAGTGGTGTGTTTCAGTATATCTGCCTGTTCTGCTCCCCACTCTGTCTCTGGTGAATCCCTTCACCCCTGCACCTCTGGCCTGTACCCCACTTCTTATATGTATAAATAAATCTTTAAAAAAAAAATTTCCTGTCTATCTGAGCCTTCCTTTCTGGGGACTGGGAGTCCTGGCAGTACGCAGCTGAGCTTTTTCTTTGAAGTTAGGGACTTGCTTCCATCACTTTGCTGTTGACACAGTTTCTTCGCAAGGCTAGTCCATTCCAGCTGCGTCTGACTTCTTCATTTGTCTCCCTTAGTGGGACCAAGGACAGGGGTGCCCTTTACATTGCTGACTTTAGTTTACAGAGGGAAGAAAAGATCTGACTCCTGTCTGCTTTGCTGTGGCTGATGAGTGTTGTGGGGTCCAGGCTAGCTAGCACTTGGGTTTCCTAATGAAGCCATGAGTTAGTGATGGGATTTGGGTGGCATCATAGTTTTGGATCAGCTATGTTGCTGGCTGCAATTGTATGGGATTTTCTTTTCTAGCTTTGCATGTAGTCAGCACTCAGCTTCAGCTCCCAGACATGCACTTTGAAAACTTTGATAATACAGCTTTACTTTTGGGGCATGTGCTAGTCTTAGAGTCAGACTTGCGCATGTTGTGTCATTAAGTGCTTAAGATTTGCCTGGATTGGTGTGTGCTTGTGGGTCATATGGGGTTGGCTGTAGGGAAAGCTGAATGGGTGGATGATGCTACCTGAGTTGAGAAATTCCTTCCAGAGGACTTCCATCCACGTTCATGCCCAAAATACCATTGTCTGCACAACGGTCCATGTTTCAGTGACCATAGTCTGAAAATTTTTATGATACAGGTCTATAAAGTACAATGCAGGATAATAAGGTTTTTTGAGAAAGCACATTTACATGATTTTAATTAGGTTATATAGCTAAGGTTCTGTTTTATTGTTGTTAATATTTTACTCTGTACCTAATTTACAAATTAAACTTCATCATAGTTGTCTATATAGGGAAAAATAGTTTCTGGAGAGTAGTTCAGTATTACCTGTGGCTTCATTCAACCACTGGGGGTCTTGGAACATGACCCACTGTGGATGAGGGGGTTTGGGAAATGTATTTTATTTGTAAGATAAGTACCTACCTCTTCTGAAACTCTCTTTTTAAAAATGAAAATGTCTCTTTTATGGAGGTGGAGTGGGGAATGGAATAAAAAATGGGGGGGGGTGGTACACAGGTGATGGCACATAGGTGAGTTGATGATGTTAAGTCCACAGGATTATAACTGAAATGGAAAAAGGCACAAAATAATATAAAAACAAACTATTACAGTAAAAAAAATAAAAAAAAATGAAAATGTCTCAGGAAGGACATTCATTCCCTCGTTGCCCCTTTGGAGTCTCTCCTTTTACTTCCCTACACACCACTTCCTGCGACCACTGAGTCCTCAAAGGCAGACAGAAGAAACAGCCGCACTTGTGTGTCCAGGCCTGGCCCTGATGAGCTCACATTGAGAAATCCTTGATGTGACTGACTTTCTCCTTTGGATTTGGATAGAGGTGGCTATCAGGCATTTGAAGAGTGAGCACCTCAAAAGGGACTTGTACCATCCCTAAATATTTGTTCACTACTATAATGGGACAGCAGCACATGCCATGGACATACTAATGGGAACTTTTTCTTAAGTGTGCATTATTTAAGAGAGATAAGGAGCATAATCATAAATGCAGAGCTGAATCACAGGGTCCCCCTGTTTTGTGAGTGTCTTATGCCACTTTATGTTTATGACAGAGCTGCAGAGTGCCTGTGGTCTCTGATGGAGGAAGGTGCTTCAGAGCATGTCCCCTTTGACCTCAGAGCCAAAAATGCAGGGCTCTGCAGCAGCGATGCTCAGGCACTGTGTGGCATTTTTAAGAAATTAAATTATGTCCGTTGAGGTAGCACAGCTTTACAGCACTGTGTGTTTCAGCAGTGTATACATACATACATACATACATACATACATACATACATACATACATGAATGTGTTTCAGCAGTGTATACATAAATAAATAAATGTGTGTTTCAGCAGTGTATACATAAATAAATAGGTGTGAGCAGGTTCATACCTCCTCAGATATGTGTTACCAGACTACTGTTACCACCCAGGACCCCACCTCTCTTGGGCCCCCTCCCTCTTTGCTCCAGCTTTCCCCCAACTTCAGTTCTCCAGGCAGATTTCTAGGGTTTATTTTGGTTTGTTTTTTTTCTGTTTCTTAGTTCTGTTTCTCTATATTGATTACATGGGAGTGACAATCATCTAGTATTTATCTTTCTCCTTCTGAAATACTTCACTTTGCATCATCCTTTCTAGTTCCTTCTTGTTGTAGCAAATGGCAAGTTTTCATGTTTGTTTTAATAGCTGAGGAGTATTCTGCTGTGTATTTATTTGTAACACATCTTCTTACTCCACTTCTCTGTCACTGGGCACTGACAATTGTTTCCATTGCCTGTATATATAAATAGTGCTGCAATGAACATAGGCATACAGTTATCCCTTCCAGTTAGTGTTTTTGCAGTCTTTGAGTAAAGACCATGCTGTATGGGAGACCTATTTTTAAAATTTTGAGGAACTGCCATAGTGTTTTCCATTCAGTTTGTCCTGGTGTGCACACCCTCTGTGGTATTTGATATGATCTACAAAGCTATTTTTTTTAAAGATTTATTTATGTATACAGAATTGGGGTACAGGCCAGAGGTGCAGGGGTGGTGAGAGGATTCACCAGAGTAGGGAGCAGAACAGGCAGATTGACAAAGCACACTGCTGAGGGGAGCAGCGGGGATCGAACTCATGCTGAAGTGGCTTTAGCTTCTTAGTGCTGTGCTTTAACTTGCTGCGCCACCAAGGAGGGCCCTAGGAAGCTATTTTTGAGGTCTAGGAATGTTTAACATTTTTCCATATAAATTAATGGTAAATTAATGGTAATTAGACTTTCTAATGATGAAATGTTTCATGGAAACACCCTACTTTTGTTTAACGGGGTAAACCTGTATTTGTTTCTACAGGCTGTCTTCCTACTGTTCTTCTTGTTGGGTTAAAATAATAAATTTCCTTATTTTTTTTAAAACTTAACAACTAAATATTATAAAACTATGGTTCGCTCATATATTCAGCATTCCCTTAGAGTACTTGTGAAAATCACTTACAGGTATTTGTGCTATAAAACTGGTGATGGTGAAACTCAGGCTTCACAAAATATTTGAGGTTGTTCAGTAACTGGAGGTAAGGACGAGAGAAAGGGAGAAAGGAGTGCTGGATTGGAAGAAGTAAGGAAGAGGAAGGGGGAGGAAGGGATTGATGAAGGATAGACGGAAAGCCATCATTGAGGCTTTTAGTTCGTATCACATTTTCTTGTTTTTAATTATACACGTGTTAGGTAGGTTGGTGCTCCTTGCGTAGACAATAATTTCCCAGCTGTAGATTTATTTTTTCTGGCACACTATCATTTGCAAGTAATTTTAATTCAGGTTTTTAAATATTTTTTACAGTATAAAAAAAAAACTTTATGGACCAATTTGCCAACAAGTACCTGCAAGATTTGAAGAGCTGAAAAAAGAAAATCAGTATCAAAACTTTTTCTTTTAAAATGTAAGTAAACTCACACTCTTTTGTATTCATTTCTGACATCTATAAAGCCTTCAGTTACCTTTCTGTATGCTCATTGTGAACATTTTCTTCCAGGAGTACAGTGACTTGACCATGTTATTCTGCTCATTAAGTATGTGAGAATTGATGACCCATTTCCCTCTTCAAATATATATATTTTTAATTCTAAAAGTACTTGGCTAATTACAGCAACTAAAATAAACACATTGTGGCATTCAAGGAGAAGATCTTTTCGGGGGGGGGGGGGGACCATGAGGGAAAACAAAGACTTCAAAAGCTTCACAGGCTTCTCAAAACCTTTATTGCTCTGTATCCCACAGACCAATTCAGTGCCTACCAAAGCAGTGGGAATTGCCTGTCCACCCATTCTGGAATCCCTAGCCATAGAAAAATGGAGGGTTTTCATAGAAACTTATTTCTCGCATTTTCTCTTGTTCAGTAATGATGCATATCAACTGTTTACTGAGCTTTGATCTACTGAGTGACAAGTGCTTTATTAGTTCATTTCACTCCATATTATTCAACCAGTACTTTCTCTGAGTGCTTGCCACATGTCAGGCACCACCTTGACATTGTCCTCATGCCTCACTCCACCTCCCCATCCCCCATGGACAAAGGAGAAGGTAATATTTTGGTGGTGTCTGGATAAGGATATAGAGGTTCAGAGCAGGGAGGAGCGTGCAGGTGACCACACAGCCAGAGAGTGAGCAGCAGCAGCTAGGAGGTACTGTCTGATGTTCTCACTTGTCCTGTTCTTTCTGGAATGGCATGGGTAGAGACCAGAACCTTCTGAGGATGTGATCCTAATCCTTGTAAACCTTGGTGGCACTCATAATGAGGAAGGAAGTTAGGGAACCAATTTCCCATGTTTGTGAAGTAGTGTCAGTACTGGGGCAGGAATTCAGAACGTAATGTCCAGCCCAGCTCTTCCATTGATGGACATCCTTCATGGATCAGGGCTATCAGACCTCCACGGGAAACCACTGCCCTTTGGCAAAGTAAGGCCGGCAAGCCAGCCTGCCCTGAGGTGTTTGTCAGTCACCTTTTCATAGAAGTTTCTATGCATGGAGGAAAGGGTACAGGTAAATAGGTGGCTAGTTAGAATAATTTTCTCCAGTGGACTCACCTGTAGCAATACTGCCCAGAATAACCAATTTTCCTGATTTATAATGTTTCTGATTTGTGTTAACTAGTTTTAAAATTTATGTAAACAGAATCTTATACTCCTGCCTGTTCATTCATGTTGGGCTTTTTTCCTATGGCTTTGTGAAATTCCTCCCGAGTCGTGTACTGTTGGTTTTGTCTTTGTCCTTGTTCTCTTGGCCTTCTCTCTCCATCTCATATATGGTTGCTGGGTGTGTAGCAATCTCTAGTCTGGGTGCATCATAAACAGAACTCCAGGGAGTGTTCCTGTGCTTATCTTTGGTAATGACTCTGTTCTGTTTGTTCAGGGACTCTTTGGTCCATGGAGCAATGCTGAACTAGGTCTTTGGAAGCAGACAAATTGATTTAGGAAGCCAGGTGACTTGTCTGCTTGGCTCGAGATCCTAGCTAAGCATGCTGGGCAGGAACAGAAGTGTCTGTGGGGGTAGGTGGAAGTCCTTGGTGATTGTGTGTCAGGTGCCAGCCTGCTCCCCTGGCTGGTAGGCCATCGCTTGCCTGGCTGGCCCTGGAAGAAACTTCAGAGAGGAAGTCAGATTCAGAAGGGATATGTGTCGCGCCGCCCTTTGTGATGGTTTGGTTATGTCAGTGTTTAGATCATGGGCCTGGGGTGTGACCCAGAGTTGACTTTAGAAGAGGCTTAAAAGTGTTAAGCAAGCTTTGGAAAAGCAGTCCGTAAAGTAGGAATCGTGAACCAGAGATGAAGCTAATCAGCAAAATTACCAAAGTAGGAGAAAGATGTATTTTTTGGATGCAGACCTCATGTGAGCTCATGGCATTGAGGTGACGTAGATCTGTGTCCCTCCTTTTCTCGTGGCCTTGTTGGATCAGCATCCTCAGCTATAAAATGGGGATATTCTTATGCCACCTCGAGGCTTGTGGTGACAGTGTATTGGCATAGAGTGAGCAACATGTATCTGGGCACAGCACACAAGCACTAGAAACAGCCACTCATATGATTGTCCCACCTTACTCTTACTCCTCCAAGCTGTTTCATTCGGTTTCTGATATCAATAGGCATTTCCAGTTCTGTTTTTTAAAATAATGATACTAGTTTCTTTTTTAAGGACTGTGAAGCCTAACAAAAATATTTTCCCACTTGCCTCACTCTAAACTGAGACTCAAAGTAAGGTGAAGGGAAACTTTGTCCATGTGTCCCTGATGTGGCCCTCCCAGGGTGAGTCAGTGGGAACTCTTGGCGGTTGAGCTGCTTTACTTGCTAAGTTCAGCGAGAGCCCTCAGGGGCATGGCAATGTTAGATCCTTCTGCACACAGCGAAGTAGCAATTTTATGTATATGACACTCAAGTTTTGCCAGGCATTTTGCAAACAGGGAACTTTGGTGGTAGGCTGAGGGAAACCCACAACAGATCACATCCAGGCTAGAGGTTGTGTTTCTGTTGGCTGTGGCTAGTGGCACCTTCCTACTACCTCTTAGTGAACTGTAGACCAGTGATCCAGGGTGTACATGGTATAGATTCAGCTTAATCTTGCTGTTAGTGACATGAAGATCTAACAAATGAATAAACCAGTGTCCTAAAAAGGAGACTTTTAGAGTGACTTGAGTGAAAGAGATTTAACCCAAAATGTTAAAACTCTAGTTCTGCCAGTGAGCTGCCAACGTTTGTCAGTTAGCTTTGGACTTGGTTTCACCATCTATAAAAGCAGAAGTTAATTTAGAATGGGACTTGGAAGTTGAGAAATCTTTGAGTTCTTGAAAGGTAGCATTTCTTCATTTTAAGCATGTTTGCATTTTTTTCTGTAGGCTAGATTTGTTCATAGATTCACCCCAAGCCAGACACTTTTGTGACAGCAGATTTTGGTACTTATGATAGTGGGGGTGGAGTTGGAGCAGTTTTAACACGATCAAAGTGCACAGAGTAATGTCCTCAAAATATGAAGAACCCGCTGAGCAGACTCTTCTGACTTCAAGCTATGGGAGTACATTTGCCTTCTCTGTCACTCTGGCATCTGCTATAACCAGTTCAGGTTCATTTGCTTTGTTCACTAAAGGGCGTATATATGTATTTTTAAATGAAAGGAATAATATGCAAGATGTGAAACTTAAATATAGGGCCCAGCTGCCTTTGGAAATCTGTGGTTGGCCTCCTCTTGGGTCTCTATTTAAATTCTCATGTCAACATACCAGTCACACAGCTGGGTGAGTCCCAAATGAAGTTGGCCTTTGCTTTGTTGTTTCTGATATTGAAGAAAGCATTCATTAAAGGGCATTATTAAAAGTTAGCATGGAAATGAAATGTTGGATCGAATTGAAGTTATACATGAGAATAAATAATAAAGTGTTATCATGGCATAATTACATTTGAGTTTTCACTTCTGTCCTCTTAGAGGTTTCAGCATGAAGCTGACACAAGAGGATGCATTGGCAGGAATTTAAGAAGCTGGTTGGGCATTTTTGTGCTTGTGGTCATTTAGATGTTCTGACAGCGGGCAAGGAGAAGTGACTGCTTGTGGGGATTGTTCTCATGGGTGATGGGGGAAGAAAGAGCTTTTGAGCATGAGCTGGGGCTCTCATTGGCTTCACTGTCCTGTGTCTGCCTGAGGCCCCGGAGGTGGTGCAATTTTGCAGGGCTACACTCAGGCCACCTTGCTCTCTCTGCCTTGGTGGGTTTTGTTCCTACTCCGAGGTCGTAGCTGGTGAGGGCAGCTTGTCTCTAGAGGAGGGCTTCCATCCCAGTGCCCCTTCATGCCCTTCTTGGAGGCTTTATCACTTATTCTGAGTTGAAGTCTTCTGCCACCTGTCATTTCTGGACTAGACATCACTTATTCTAGGCAAATGGCACTAAAAATGTGAAGATTGCTGTGAGCAGCCCTTCTATTTGCAGTAATGTCAATTCTGTAGTGGGTTTTGCATCATTGGTTCATTATAACTCAAGACAACATGTAAATGAAGTTCTTTTCATCGAGAAACCTTCAAATGAGTTTCCTGTTGGTTTTCATTCTTTCTCCATCTCCTACCAAATATCTGAGATCACCTTTCCATCGAAGATTGATGGACTTGGGCCTTTATAAAGGATTGTTCCTCCAAGTAGAGGCTTCCTGGGCATGCGAGTGTGGATGGAGGGTGAGGCTGCAGTTTTTTGCTTGTCTGACTGAAGCATAGGGTTTTCTCACTTTAGCAATGGCAGTCACTGGCTTTGCTTTTTTTTAAACTTATACAGATACACAGAGTGTTAACTGCAGACAGAGAGAAAAAAAATGGTTTTACACATTTAGCAAATTAACAGTTCATACACATGTGGGTGTATGAGTCCTGGCTCTGGAACGGGGCAGGGGCGTGTTTTTCTTTCAGGTTGCCAGGCATTTGTACAGGTTGCTTGAGGCCCTTACTATCTCTGAAGGCACTTGGGTTTGTAATCCCAGCAGCTTTTTAAGAAGGGGTAGAGGATGTAAGGGAATTCTGACTTCTGCTTAATGAGTCTGTAATGTCGGGTTTGGGTATTTGGGAGAGACCTGGGTTCTGGCTGCAGAGTTGGAGTCAGCTGAGGTGCTCTGTTGATTCAGGAATGAAGAAGTGGAAGAAGGGATTTCATCACTCTTGAGTCCACCACATAGTAGCTCTAGACTGTGTGTCATCGGGAAAGAGCTGTGGGCCCCCAGGGTTCTGTGACTCCCGTACACCTGTTCCCATGTTCTTGTCAGATCATTGCTGGCTTCCTCCACCAGGAGGAGACTTAACTAGTGGTAGTCAGTCAGCAGCCACTGGGTAGCAGCCCTTTAGTCTGGAGGCAACATAGCACATCTTTAGAAATCACAACATAGCTGTCTTTAGAAATCACAGTTGATGTCAGAACTTAAAAT